AAATGCAGATTTAGGGGAGCAGATAATTCTGGTTTTAGTCATGTTTAATGTCACATGCCTTGAGAATACTTAATAGACTTTTTGAATATAGAATTGGATGTTAGGGTCTGACATGGAGTGATTCTGGATTTTAGATTTTGGGAATCATGTAGATAATAATTGAAATATTCAGTAGATTGTCTAGGCATGGAATATAGTGTAAAAATAGGGCTACTCAGCAGAGCCTCAAGGGGAGTAGTGATTATTTAAGGGAGCTGGGGAAGATGGAAAGAAATGAAAAAGAAAAGAGAATTGGGAGAGAGCACTGTAATGGAAATGAAGGTAATGTTTTAGAGAGTAGGTAGGTAGTAGTGTCATTTAATGCAGTGGGATCAAATATATTGGGGCTAAAGAGGCCATTAAATTTAGCATATTGATTGATTTTGGAATTTAGGGACAGAGAATATTGATCAAGTCTTGGAGGAAGTAATGAATGGTACTAACTAGATGCTGAGGAGCAACTAGCAGGTAGCCCATCCTGGGCCAAGAGGAATGATGAGAGGCAGAGTAAAGATAAAGATAAATTTTGAGGATTTCTTTTTGGCTTACATCGTTTCTGAATGATTTAGGAGTCAGGATATCTTAACTAGGAGGTTAGAAAATTTTCATAATAGTCTTTGGAGAGTATAGGGGAAAAAAGATGATTAAAAAATTGGAGTTCAACTTCAGTCTTAATTTCAGATGTTCTACTTGTCAGTTACCAAAATGATATTAATATATGGTAGTATTTACAAAATCACCACAGTAATATCCTAAAAGGCTATAAAACTGTAATTGTAATCTGAATTACTTTTAGCTATTTTCTGTTTCTCTAATTACTTTCTGGACTGATTATAAAGTTATTTGAATGGGTTGTGCATAAATCTATTTCTGTCTTACAAATTCTGATATATATTTATGATACATCTATGATATATATTTATGATACATCTATGTCTGAGAAAAATGATATATTTATTTAAAATCTATATATACCTTGGGGCTGAGTGCAGTGGCTCACGCCTATAATCTTAGCACTCTGGGAGGCTGAGACAGGTGGATTGCTTGAGCTCACCAGTTCGAGACCAGCTTGAGCAAGAATAAGTCCCCGGCTCTAAAAATAGCTGGGCCTTGTGGAGGGAACCTGTAGTCCCAGCTACTTGAGAGGCTGAGGCAAGAGAATCACTTGAGTCCAAGAGTTTGAAGTTGCTGTGACCTGTGACACCATGGCACTCTACTGAGGGTGATAAAGTGAGACTCTGCATATACCTTGGTGGTTGTGTCTTTTTTAATTATCATTTGTGTACTAGAAGTAAAAACTGATGATGCGCAAACACAGATCAAAAAGATTTCTACACTCACTTTTTTATTCTTTAGATCTCTATTATCTAAGATGTTGTTTGTTTTTAATGTGTATAATATTTAATAAGAGTTTCCATTAAGATGTTAGAAGGATGTATTAAAACATTAACATATATTTTTTTTTTCTTATTTTCTTAGGATGGCTGGCTGTGGTGAAATTGATCACTCAATAAACATGCTTCCTACGAACAGGAAAGCAAATGAATCCTGTTCTAATCCCACACCTTCTCTAACCGTGCCTGAATGTGCCATCTGTCTGCAAACATGTGTCCACCCAGTCAGTCTGCCCTGTAAGCATGTTTTCTGCTATCTGTGTGTAAAAGGAGCTTCCTGGCTTGGAAAGCGGTGTGCCCTTTGTCGACAAGAAATTCCAGAGGATTTTCTTGATAAGCCAACCTTGCTGTCACCAGAAGAACTCAAGGCAGCAAGTAGAGGAAATGGTGAATATGCATGGTATTATGAAGGAAGAAATGGGTGGTGGCAATATGATGAACGCACCAGTAGAGAGCTGGAAGATGCCTTTTCCAAAGGTAAAAAGAACACTGAAATGTTAATTGCTGGGTTTCTGTATGTTGCTGATCTTGAAAATATGGTTCAATATAGAAGAAATGAACATGGACGTCGCAGGAAGATTAAGCGAGATATAATAGATATACCAAAGAAGGGAGTAGCTGGACTTAGGCTAGACTGTGATGCTAATGCTGTGAACCTAGCGAGAGAGAGCTCTGCCGATGGAGCGGACAGTCTATCAGCACAGAGCGGAGCTTCTGTTCAGCCTCTAGTGTCCTCTGTAAGGCCTCTGACGTCAGTAGATGGGCAGTTAACAAGCCCTGCAACACCATCCCCTGATGCAAGCACTTCTCTGGAAGACTCTTTTGCTCATTTACAACTCAGCGGAGACAACATAGCTGAAAGGAGTCACAGGGGGGAAGGAGAAGAAGATCACGAATCACCATCTTCAGGAAGGGCACCAGCACCAGACACCTCGGTGGAAGAGACCGAGTCAGATGCCAGCAGTGATGGTGAAGATGTAACTGCAGTAGTTGCACAGCACTCCTTGACCCAGCAGAGACTTCTGATTCCCAGTGCAAACCAGACAGTGCCTGATCGATCAGATCGATCAGTAGCTGGGGGCGGAACGGTGAGTATCGGTGTCAGATCTAGAAGGCCTGATGGACAGTGCACAGTAACTGAAGTTTAGTCTTCAGCTCCATGGCTGAAGGCTGAAAGGGGTATCTGTAAATTTCTGCCCACATAACATTATACTCATCCTAGTAGTGCATTTTGGGAATTGGGGTGGGAAGGGATATGGGAAGGATAGACCTGTAATTAAAATGTCTAACATGTCTCTTTTGAGAGAAATTTATTTAATGTAAGGACCCCGTGTGTTAATAGTTGAGAGCCACTGAGTAATAATCCAGTTTTCTTGAGGTCTGTTTACTTCATAGTTTTCTGTTAATTTCTTCACTTCTTTTGGCCAATGTGTGTGTATTATCTGTGCATTAATGGTCCTCATCTGACTCTTACATTGTGTCTTATTTTTCTGCATGGATTGGTATAAAAACATTACTAAAATTTGGCACTTGGAAGATGTTTGGTATCATTATGAGCAGGAAGCTTAATTAATGTGAGAATAGATATGAATCTGGGAATTTGAAATAGATGAATAACAACTATTTTATAGTAAAGTTATTGAAATGGGGGAAATGTAAAGAAAACAGCTAATAACATGTTTCAGAATCTTTGTAACACACTTCATGGCGTTCCCATAGGCTTTGCTGTCTAGTTCTTATACTTTGAGGTTTCTTTTGATCCACATTTTTCTTTTTGATTACAAAGTTTATAATTTAATAAATACTAGAATTTAACAAAATTCATTTGTCTCTTTTTTGACTGTGGGAGAAGATGGAAACATTTTGCCATTTGTGGTCAAAGGTCACTAAGAAAGTGGTAGTTTGATTTGGTTAAATTGAGGTTTAATAATCTCCAGGTCAGAAAAGTTTGATTTCTACTTAGAGAATATTTAAGCAGAATCTATAGGTTGAAAATAAAGCCTGTGGTACTTAAATTTCTCAAATAGCTTATAATGTTAATATTTTACTTTCCTTTCCACTCTTCATTAGTGTTCTAACTAATGGCACATTTATAAACAGCCTTAGCCAACACAAAGTCACTTTATACAAATGGAATAGACACATAACCATCTTTCATTGGGCAGTTTTGTCTGTGGCAAAGTAGGAAATACCGAGTTGACATAGTAATCTATAATTTGTTTTTGAAAAAAAGTAACCAATTTGTCTATTTTCCTAACTTAGAACAGTAGGATATTAATAAAGCATATGCAAGTTATTTTTATTGTGATACTCAAATGTGAATTGAATGTTAAAAACAGCAAATAAAAACTGTCACTACTTTTTTTTTTTGAGAGACAGTCTCACTTTATCGCCCTCAGTAGAGTGCTATGGCGTCACAGCTCATAGCAACCTCCAACTCCTAGGCTGAGGTGATTCTCTTGCTTCAGCCTCCAGAGTAGCTGGGACTACAGGGCACCAGCCACAAAGCCTGGCAATTTTTTTTTTAGTTGTTGTTGCAGTTTGGCCAGGGCCAGGTTCGAACCTGCCACTCTTGGTATATGGGGCTGGCACCCTACCCACTGAGCCACAGGCACTCTCCAAACTGTCACTACTTTGAAACTATCTTTTACTTCTTGTGATAGGTCAGAATTAGTACGTACATGGTTTTTTTGTGTTACAAGGTTTACTTTTTTAAGTTTTACTGGAATGATCATAACAGTTTTGAGTTGTGTATTTTTATTTACTTTTTTTAAATTTCAAAATACTAATGGGTACAAATGCTTTTGTTACATGGATCTCTTTTGTAATGATTGAGTTGGATAATTAGTGTGCACCTATCACCCAAATGGTGTTCACTGTTAGGTAAATTTTTACCCCCCCCACCCCCCCCACCCCCGGAGTTCCAATGACTTTTACTTCCCGATATGCACCTGTGTGCCCACTAGTGGGTTACTTAATTTACTTTTAAAAGACATCTAGTTATAAAAGAAGAAACATTAGCTGTTATCAGAAAAAAAATAGAAATCTGATGTAAAATGCAAACTTATGTTGCAGGGTGTTTTATGAGTCCCTTTAAGTAGTTTCAATTTCAAGACTACATCAATTATTGTATTTATTACTAGTTTGGGAATTCCAGGTTACACAAATGAAAGGGTGGTTTGTAGAATCAATTGACTTTCTATATCAAGTCTATTTGTTTAGGAGATAATTTAAGAAAGATCAAATAAAGTTCAAATTTGTAGGGGGTAGTGAGGTGCTTTTTATTTCCAAGGACAGAACAAAATTTTTATGCAAATAACCCCAGAATAGGTTTTCTGTAGAAGCTTTTCCTTTTAAACACTGGTCTTTGGTTAGAAGCCAAAAACTATTACAGAAATATAATATAGATATCTTTTAACCCAAAATTTGTTGCATATTTTAGCCAAATGTACCAGATTACTTGGTAAATACCCGAATATTTCATTTAAAAAAAAAAATCTGGGCTAAAGAGTTCATATAGTCAAAAAATTATTAAAAACATCAGACTATTAGTAGTAGCCTTCAAAGTAATTCTGATATTTATAATTAATGTCATTTAACTTTAGTGCATATCTTTGAAGCTTTATAGTATGTCCACATTTTTTAACTCTACTTATTAAATTTTCCTCTCTTAGCAACAGCCTCTAAATTTGCAGGTCCACCCCAAACTGTTCCTAAAAGATCTCTTTCGTTCTGTAATGCCTCCTCTAAATATAGCTCTTTGCCTGAACAAACAGATTTTTTCAACGCTCTAATTACTTCTGGTGGCCCTTTGATAAACTGCATAAGCCACTCTTGAGCTTCTTCTAGAGATTTAGTTTCATCTGAAGATTTTAAGACCTCCTCGACCATTCCTATGTTTAGAGCTTTTTTTGAATCGAGTTTGAAGGCACCACTTAACACTTTGAGAGCTTGTCTACTGCCAATTATTTCAACGAGCCGGCTAGTGCCACCCCAGCTTGGTATTATACCCATCTCCTTGTGGACAAATCTGATCTCACTGTCTGGTGTCATTAACCTGCAAAAGAGAAAAGAAAAACCTCAGTTGTAGCTACATATATGTATATATGCTATAATCATAAAGTACTATGTGTTCATAATCTTATATGAAATCACAGATCTTTTTAAAAACTGAAGTTTAGAAAAATATGGCTGTTTCATCTAGAATTTAATTTATATAATACTTAACACTTCCCATTAAAAACAATGTCAGAGTTTTTGTTATGCTTGTTTATCCTTTGCAGATAAGAACTTTGTTCCTAAAAACACAAATTTTATCCTTCAAAAGCCCATGGTGGCCTAATGAAAAACCTGGATCAAGAGAGGATGGGGGTAGGACATTTTAGGTGTATGCTATGGGAAACAAAACCTAAGTTAGAGTTCTCCATAGTCCCCAAGAAAAAAAAAACATTTTTTTTTTTTTTTAAATATGGGACGCTTTATGAATTTGCGTGTCATCCTTGTGCAGGGGCCATGCTAATCTTCTCTGTATAGTTCCAATTTTAGTATATGTGCTGCCGAAGGAAGCACAAAAAAAATTCGTTTTTTAATGGAAAATTTATTCAGCAAATTTAGGTGCTGAGACTGCAGGAAAAAGCAAGATGGAAATCCCTGTGCCCAGGAGCTACACTCCAGTTTGGATAGAAAGTCAATAAAGCATATAATGTCAGTGGTGACAAGTGCTATAAAGAAAAGTAAATTGGTAAACTCCTACCTAACAGGTACAGTGTGTAAGGTTTATAGCATATCTCCTGGGTGAAGGACTCAATTACAACTGCGATGCTACTTAACAAATGTAAACGTTTAACCCAATCATTTGTACCTTTTTATTAATTGTAATTTTTTTTAAAAGTTCACATGTAAATGGCTCGGCACAAGTAGCTCAGTGGCTAGGGTGCCAGCCACATAACACGAGCTGGCGGGTTCAAATTTAGCCTCGGCCTGCCAAACAGCAATGACAACAATGACCAAAAAATAGCCAGGCGTTGTGGTGGGGGCCTGGAGTCCCAGCTACTTGGGAGGCTGAAGCAAGAGGATGGTGTAAGCCCAAGAGTTGGAGGTTGCTGTGAGCTGTGATACCATTGCACTCTACTGAGGGCGACAAAGTAACACTCTGTCTCATGTAAAAAAAAAAAGTTCACAGGTAAAAATAAAAAGTAAATTTGGGCCAGGGACTAAAGAATGAGGTTATGTATGTTGGGGTGTGCTTTTTAGATAGAGAAGGCACCTGAATATTTGAGCAGTTACCTGAGAGAGTGAGCAATGGAAAAATCTACAAGAAAGCACTTGGGGAGGAAGGAATTACAGGCCCAAAAGCCTTGAAGCAGAACTGCTTAGTATCTCTAGGGACAAGGTCACCATAATTGGAACAGAGAAAGCAAAGAGTAATGCATGAAATCGAGAAGTAGACTTAACAGGCTGTAGTAAGCAGTCCAGATTTTATGTTTTAAATAAGTTATTTAGAAGACATTGACCAAGGGCTTAGCAATCTGGTTTATGAGGAATGTTCTGGTTGCTGTATAAACGACATTTTGTTTAGCATTTTATGGCACTTTGAGGAACTGCCCATACAGCTATGGCGGACCAGGATTTAAAACCCATGTAGTTTGGCTTCAACGTGTCCTTTTAACTTCATGGTAAACTAAATAGTTGGCTAGACAAAAGTGGAAGAAGAAATACCAGTAAGCAAATTGACTGTGGCTTGGGGATAGTAGCCTGACAGCAGTGATTTCCTATAGCAGGGCTTCAGTTTTCCCAAATTATGAGATTTTTATGAACAGAGTGATTAATAAAGGAAACACAAATTGGTGGAACTAGAAAGGCTTCATATCTGCCAGTTAAGTATTTCTTTACTATCAAACTGAGTAAAGCTTTGTGGTTTAGGAAATGCTGTCTGTTCGTTTTATTTTGACTGCATGCTTTAATGAGAAACTTTCAGTAAGTTATGTGACTTTTGTTTAAGCAAAACTTTTGCTTTCAACCTACTCATTACCTAAAAGAAGACCTTAAATTAGTTTGGTTTCCCTAAGTGTTAAATACTCAACTGCAGGTATTCTTTTTAAGAGCAGACTCAGTCCTTGACCCTTAAGCAGGAGAATTATTTCAGTATAGAATTGCCATAGAATCCCATCAACACCCTGGGAGTCTACAAAGGAAAATACGCCTCTACTATGAAAAATTCTAGAGGCAAATAGCAATGAAAATAGTAGTTTTCAATAATTTTTAAATGTGGAAGAAGACAGAACAAGTCTCCTAAGAATCTGTATCTAGCACAAAATTGTGAGGAGTACTGCCTCAGAAGACAATGTCAGCAAATAAAGAATAGAAATTACAGAAATTTACAAAATTACATTTCCTTTAGAGATAGGAATATTGTTAGTATTGAACTCAATTCTATAAAGCTTTTCACAGAAAATTAAATTTGTAACTTAAATCATGGAATTGACACTGATGTTGGCTCAGAACTATGCCTGTAATGAAGTATGTGAAGGATTATGTCAGGAATATATTCATTTATAATAAACAGAACATAAAAATTGCTTAAAGTCCTTGATGTTGGAATGATGTAGATGTGCTATGACAACAAAGGTTATTACCTATGTAAGCATATTTATATTTGGAATTCTTTGCTTCTAAAGAATCATCTTCATTATCATCTTTATACCTTGTGCTTTTTTTCTTTATTTTACAAGGTAAAGTGTACCTTTTTGCATCTATTTTAGAATTTTACAGGTCTTGAGGTAATCTTTGTGGAAATACTTGTGATCAAACTCTAGTCCCCATTCTTTATAAATCATATGCCTAGGGTATAGTTTTATACTGGTACACATTTAATATACATTAAATAAATGTGACCAAAAATCCATTGGTGACAAAAGAATACAAGTGGTCTACTCAACAATGACAGAAGTATACAGTATTCGGATGTGGGGAACCTTTCATAAGACTAACATAAACATTGAAGTTTAAATATCAAATTTTAAAAGTTGAAAAACATAACATAAGAAGACATAACCCAAATCAAAAGATAGACCCCGAAGCAGAAAATGCTTCCTGATTTTATGGAATTACACAACAATTCCTTTTGGTGTTTAGATGCAGTCATCTATTTATCTATGTAGAGTACTGGAAAAATTAGCTCTTGTAATTCTAAAGACAACAGACTCAATTTATAAAACCACACTATCCCTTATTTTGACATGTAAAATAGTAAGGTCTTCTGATTTATTAGTGACATTGTTATTGGTAATGTTTAAAATACCATGTGACATCCTGGGGAGAGGAGATGAAATTAATCAAAAGAGGATATGTTTCTTGTTGCTGTCTTGATGTGACTGGACAAACTATGCACAACTGAGGAAAGTGGATCACCTTTGACAAAGTCAAGTGTTATACCCAGAATGACTGTTCAGTGAGCTCCTACTTTCTGATGAATTTAACTGTGTCAGGTCTCTGAACAAATGTTTGCCAGAATAATTCTAAAAAGAAATTACCAAATTTTACTAAAATCAGGAGATTTTAGTAAAAGTTATACCAGAAAAGTTTTTAAAAATGTTTATTATATAAATTTACTTCTAGTGAACTCTGTGATAAAGGATAGCAACAAATAAGTAATTGACTTGGGAGACGGTACAGCTTTGATGTAAAGTACAGACTCAGAAGCCAGAAAGCTGGGCTTGGTCACAAGACGGACTGCATACTATATACCTTGTAAAACACTGCAAAGGAAAAAGACAAATGGTATAAAGATGAGGAAAATTCATCTCTAAATCTTAGAAAGCTACTTAACATCTCTGGGCCTCAGTTTGTTGTCTACAAAATAAACAACTTATGCCATAGAATTATTATGAGTATTAAATGAGTTAATATGTGACTTAGAACATACATATCCCACAATTATTTTATAGATAATCTTGGATCATATCTGTATGATTAAAAGAAAATGTGAAACTGCCTCAACTGTATCTACACAGTAGATACTGTAGAACAGAGTTTTAAAACTTTCATTTGGAAAGATAAAGCTGTATATATTTTGTAGTCTGACACATACTAAACTATATGTACTAACTTTTATTTATTAAGTTGGTCATATTGATAGGTCAGTAAAGTTAACAACAGTGCTTCTGCTAGAGAGTATAAAGTATTTTCCTAGATTAAAATTACTCAGTCCCTAAAGTATTCAAAGTAAAAGCTATAATCACATTGTGAAACCAGCAAATGATGTTATACTATCCTTCCTCAATGAAGACAACACAGGGTGTCCATAAAGTTCTTGTGCAATTTGAACCAGTTTTACATTGTAAAGTACACATGAACTTTATGGACACCTTGTATATGATGGAGACCACAAATTATATGCAATTTTTATATTTCCCTAAAAAGTCAGAATTCATGCAGTGTTTATTCTTCGATAGGACTAAAACAGAAGATTCCAAAATGATTTTATTAAAAAAAAAATAACACTTTAAAAAATAACACTCTGTCTAAAGTTTCTTAATGAGAACTGCATAATACAACTAACAGCATGAATGAATATCTAGAAATTTTAAGGAAAGCATTGATGTTACAAAATTAAAATGATGTAATAAATTTAAAGTTTTGGAATCACATTTAAATAAGCTTGAGTCTAGGGGTGAGAAACTGCTAGTCCTTCTACATAGCATATTAAGAGCCAGACAACAAAGCAAACTCTGCTGACTGAGGAAATATGGCACAGAGAATTATGCAATTAGTAATGGCATCGACTGCAAACAATTTAAAAATCATGTCTTGAATATAAAGTTAATTTTTTCGCACATGTGCTTTCCTGAAACCTTGTCCTTTTTGCCTTCCACCTGCCATTACATCATAAGAAAAGCTATGGAAAACAGAAAGAAAGAACCTACAGATTCTCACAATAATCTCACCTTTCTGATTTCCAGCTCTCACATGAATGGCCTTACGCGGCTCCATTCATTTTATACAGGGACTGATTGAAGAAGAAAGTATATAGTTGAACGAGTGAAAATTTTTACTTGTATGTTATGTGGTGGTAGAGTAAGAGAGAAGCAGACAAGTAAATGTTTTGTGATACTGAAGTCTGTAATATCTAGTCAGTAATCCTAGCATGATCAGAGGTGGATTTACTTGATATCACAGGCTCTAAAGCAAGGAGTTCCAAGTAATGTGGCAATTACAAAACAAAGCAACATGGCCAAGGTGAGTGCTTCGTGAGGTGGGAATCTCATATTCAGAGTACAGACACCTCCAAATCGAAAAGAATCCATTCTTTTAGGGATGCGTGTGTGTGCGTGCATTTACTTGTGTATGTACAAGTTTGGGTATTATATATTTTGCATTTTATTCATTAAGCCAGTATTTTAATAAAAAGGCTACCTACAGTAAGCTCCTTTGGGGAAAGCATGTTTACAACTCCCTTTCTCTGTAATATGCATTGAACTAATGGGTAGCAGCTGGAAATGCTAATATCTGAAGCTGAGGGTTATTTATATTCATGAAAACAATGTTAGAGATTGAAAGCAAATTAGATG